CTCATTTCATGTGTCATATGTAGATATAAAATATTGCAACGTCATATTTAAATATTACAATGAAAATCTGAAACTCTTCTTACAAAATAATTAAAATTATATTTCTTTGCAGATATTAGTTTATTTTGAAATATAAGTTAGTATCAAATTCATTAGAATCAATAATAATGATTGTTCGTATTAATTATTTTCTTATCATTTCCTTTTATTTTCTCTGTTCTAAATGTTTCAACAATAAAGTAGAATTTTATAAATATGCGAATTTCGTACACATAAATCGAAGTTTATTCGTGATCATCGTTTATTTAACAAATAACTTGCAATGAATATATTTTGCGAAATTTCTTTTTATTCTTCGTGTTATATAATGAGTAAATAGAAATTAAAAAGTAAATCAAAGTGTGATTTTGATCGAATCATTTTTCATCTTTGTTTCAAGAATAAATTATTTCAATTCTAGACTTATTCAGTTATAATTTAAATCGAATCACTTGAATTTTTTGCTTTCAATTTTCACAATTTTGAGTAAAAATATAATTTAATTCAGTTAATGAAATATAATTATGAAATAACATCTTGACAGTAATCTGATTTTTTTTTTTTTTTTTTTTTTGTGTATATAATATGTCTTTATTGCAGATGTTTTTATTTTGTCTTTTTATTTGAATTATAATACTAATCCAACGTATAAGCTTGTTTCAGATTTATTTCAAAGAGTGTTAGTTATAGAAAATGTACAAAAATATGTACACTGAAAGTTTAAAAAATGGAATATATATTAAATGAAGTGACTAAAAGGAAAAAATTATTATAACAAAATGAGTAATAGTTATATTTTACAATTCACTATAATAAAATATGTAATAGTTATATTTTACTAATCTTTTTCAATTTTTTAGATTTGTTTTAGGATTCCACAGATTGCAGAATTAACAGAAGAAGATTTCATATAATACAACAGATTAAGAAATCATTAGAAGAAAACTTTATATTACTTTATTGGCTTTATTTCTTTGTATTTATATAAATAGAATGAAAAAAATCGCTCATTTAGGTACTAACTTAGGCTAAGTTAGACTTAATTAGACTACAGATAGTTTTAAATTGGATGTTGTGTTGTATTGTGTTGTAATGGTTTTAAATTGATTTAAGCATGGTAATATATAAGCTGCGTTAGTATCTCAGTTCTGTTAATTCATGGTTAAGGGTAGTTAATATTAATTTAAGTGGGATAAATAAAATTCTATATGAGACATATATTTGTTTAAGCTTTCTAACTACTGTTATATAGTCGAAGTTGTGTCTCATACAGAATTATGTAGTTAAGCTTTAATATAATTTCTACTTTCATCGAAATTTAACTTTCCGCGTCGGTTTTCTTTACAGCTTCTTTTATTGTTTGATTTGCACAACGATTAAAATATTGAATGTTTCGCAAATATAAAGTAGAAGAAGTACTTATTCATAAATTCATGTTTTAAATTAGTACATTTTTGTTCGAAAAAGGAGGCTGAATAGACCTCGGATAGAATGGATCTCCACTCGCAACATCTCCACCTGGCCAATCAGTATTATTTGATGTATAATTACTAATTGCATTATTATATAGCTAAATCATTAATTATATAACTGATACAATTATTAATTATATGGCAATTAATACGAGCTTATCTCTTTAATATGAGCTAATTGGCTGCGATTTCGGTTAGATATAGATGTACATATCCATTATTAATGAAAAGCAAATAATATTTAGTTTTGACATATGGGTAACTAATTTCTAAGGGTATAAAAAATGTTTCATCCAAATTTTTTGTACAAAAATATTTTAGAATGTTTAGGATTAATTATTTCTTCTACAATGATTATATCTGTAAATGAGAGGGTTGTTCTTTCTTCTCTTTAATTTTTCACTGATTTTTATTTACATCCTCATTAAACTGCAGTAATAAATATTGCAATTTAAAAATTTCATACAATCGATAGCTAATCCTTCCGATAGAATCCTTCAACCCCATATTTACCCAAAATTCTAAAAAAAATAGATATATATGTTTCAAGGTACATCTTGCAAAGAAAAGACATTTAAATTAAAAATGGAAGAATCCTTAAACAAGAGTGTTTTAAACATTTATTCGTAAATAAAATTCACATTGATGTCATTATCACGATCATGTTAATAATAAATACTCGTTACCGATAGTCAATTTGCTCGCTTCTCCTCGCTTTCTTTTCACTTCTCTTCACGTGAATTTATAGTATAATAAAATTGCAAAGACATATTGTATAGACACTAAGCATTCTGCCATACCTTTTTTCTTTTTTATTCTTTTCAATCGTAGGAAAGAAGAAGTACAATATCCGCTTATGTAGCAACAAGTATATATACATACGTTATAATATCTCTCTTTCTATGTTTCTATTTAACCACGATACAGAAATATCATATCTGATAAAATGTAAATAGCTAACACAGTTCATTCGTAAAAGGCACAAGTTTTTTCTTTCTCTTTCCACGACGAAAATTTATTTCAATCCTCCAGTTCGACCGTCAAACATATTTTTCCTTTTAGAACATCGTTCTGCAATCGATTTTTCAACGAATCATGTTAATCAGTTGAAGAAAAAGGTTCTTTTGTTCTGAATCACTGTTTCAACAACAGAGTCATCAATTGGTCGTGTCCTTTTTTTCCCTTTTTATAATAAATAATTATATTTTTGGAAGTTACTGCTTCAAAAAAAATTCCTGTTAAAATAGTGAAAATATAATTCTAATACTATTTATATTTATAAATTACAATATTTATAAATATAATTTACATATATATTAAGTATAATATAATATATAAAACCAAATTTAAATACAAATATAATGCTTGAACATACTTTTCTCTATTAAATTCTCTTTTTGATTATAGATTTTGATTATTGTACAGAATAGCTGTAGATTGGAGAACGCTGTTTAGATTAACAGAGAATAAAAATATACATTTTATTCATATCCTTAATCGAGTGTTTCACGTGCGCAACTGGAAGATCGTTCAAATAATGAGGTCACACTTATTTTTTGATGTGAACGAAACATTCGGTACAGCCGTGTCTATCCAAGAAACTTTCGTTATAATGTAATATAAAAACAATTTTAAAAAAGAAAAAAAAAGGAAAACGATAACAACACGATAAATCTACAAAATATACAAAGTATGAGGTTTATTGTCGACAATAAACTACGATAAATAAATCGCAACTGCTACTATCTTGCCTGCGAATAGTTGCACAACTATTATACATTTTCCTTAGCATCGAAGTGAAATATAGTCGGATATCCTCTTTCTTACGTTATGCTTGTAACAGTTTGTACCGCTACGAACGCTCGCGTGCAGTATTGTTCGTTCGACGAAAATAATAACGTTAGTAAAACGTTTGATAGCCGATCACGACATTTGTGATGAGATTTTTAGTTTCTTTGGGAATTCTGATCGAAGATTCGAAACGAAAATAAAAATCGAACGGAACTCTTTGGCTTGATCGAAATATACTAAAAATTCTAGAGAATATTAACATGTTCCGTGTCGGGTGAAAATTGAAAGTTACTCCTGTGGTTTAAAGCAAAGTAGAGTAGAGTTATTTCATGTTTATAGTGATTATACAGAATATTCTTCGTATAAATGGTAACGAATTGTTTCTATCATTTTCTGGAAGTCCTTGACATTTGTAATTCGTGTCAGTGACGACTTATTAATGAGTCACGCAGAAATAAAGAGTGCAATTTTTATATTTTCTATTTTATCGTTACAAAATTTCTTTCATTAATGATATTACTAGACTATGAATCTTTGCAGAAAAATTTAGAATTGCCAAAGCAAGAAAAAGTAGGTGAGAAAAATCTTCGCTTAGGTTCTATTTCCTTAAACATATTCGTAAAATTCTGAGTTTCGCCGCATATTATCATAGGTGATATCATAAAACTTCGTCTTTTTTGATCAATCTAGTAAAATAAGTTTTGAAGAGTAAAATAAGTTTATTCTTTTTGACACAGTTTCTTAAAATAAATTTAAGGGTTAATAAAATTTCTTGATAAAAATTCTACTCTTCATAAAATCATCAATGAATTAAACAACACGGAACCTGTTAATTCCAAAATCTCAGTTTCATCAAAGAATCGAAGAATACTCTCCACTCGTTTCTGTCGATCATATAGTAATCGCTAAACTATGGATCTTTATGCATTCGTAAGAAATTTTAAAGTGCAAAATTGCATAGAACGCACAAGAAATATCCAAAGTATAACGGCTTTTATAATATTTGGTACTTAAACCAATTTCACCCTGAGATTCTCTCTTTTATTTAATTATATTTTCAAAAATATGAATTTGCATAAAAATCCGCAGTCTAGAAATCGCGTTCTAAGCGTAGCATTTGCTCTTGGAACATTCTCCAACTTTAGTTTCATACCAGACACGAAGGAATTCGCAATGCGTGTTTTCTGTGGCGACTACGGTGCAACCAGCGAGAATCTTACTTACAATTAATAAGTGATCGATTCCTTTGTGGAGCTTAACCCTTCAAGGACTGCACTGACTCTTGTGTAATTTCTACCAAAAGTTATTTTAACAACACTAAATTTTTGTAATTACATAGAATATTTCTAAAACTATGGTATAATAAAAAATGTGGTGGTTTTAAAGAATAAAATTTTTTCATTTAAAAACTTTCTTCGTTTTCGAGAGAGTCAAATTCGAAAATTGATCAAGCATATTTAAATTTGGCTAATTTAACACCTGAATAATCGATAGAAGATCACTCTACTTACGAAAATAAGTGAAAAATATAGAATAAAATTTATCTATTTGATATTTAGTATATAATATTTAAATACACATTAGTACTTAATAAAATTTCAAATTTAATATTTTCGAAAACGAAACTGTAAATAAAAAAATTTTATTTTTTCTTCTAGACTTATTTTTTCGTGCATAATTATTTCTTCCTTTCTGTTTGTACATAATTATTACCTCCTTTCTGTTTGGAAACTTTACTATCACCATTTAAAGCTGTAAAAATTATTATTAAACTTACTTAATTATTATTATTTATATAATTTAAACCCACGAAAATTATGAAAAAGTCTAAATTATCAGCAACAGGCGTCGTCCCTGAAGGGCCTTAGTATCAATCCTAAATCCAAGTCCAAAGTACGATGATCAATCAAGAAAATGACCGCGAACAGTCGTTGAAAATCGAAGCACCAATTTCAAAAGTAGATTAACATTATTCTTTGTGTAATTTGCCTTCGTTCTTTCACGATCTCGATTCGTCACTGAACATTGAATTGAAATTCATTATTGTCCATTTAAGCGAGCAGATTAACGAATAAGATTTATTCTTTTAAAGGCGAAAACGCGCGTGTTGTTGGTGCCCTATTGTGCGAACGCAGCGATCGATCGAATAACTTGACTACATTTCGTTTTTGTTCTATTTCTATTTGACTTTTGATGTTTAGTAGAAAGTTTTTATAAATCGACGTCTTCTTGCTTGGCCTTTGGTGCAATTTTCTCCTCGATATCGGACTCTTTGATGGTAGTATGGACGTCAGCGATCTCGACCGACGGAGGAACCGCTGCTTTTACCGATTGATCCTCTTCCGCAATCTCAAAGCCAATCGTTGCGCCAATCTTCTGACTCGCTTGCTTGAACGAGTCTGACAGCATCACCTGTTGATCAAATTAAGCGTCACGTGTTAAAAGTGGCATTAATCTCACAATAGATAAAGCAGATAGATCGAAGTATTTTTAGTTTAACGAAGATTGTGACGTTTCTTGGATTCTTTAATTTAGTTTACACTGAAGTAGATTATCACGGAGCAAATTACTTAGCTATCATATTAGATTGAAAAATATTCTACGTTAAAATACGGAGAATGAAATAGAAAATTTGATCTTCTATTTAATATACATCGAATTAGAAGATTTAGAACCAGTACGTAAAATACTGTGAATTAGAATTAATATGTGCAAAAGTTCATACCTGTACAACGTTGATGCACATGGACGTGAGAGCCAGGCCGAACACCAGGTATATTATCGAACACATCATGTATATGGGATGCTAGATCAACCAACCAATCAATTTGTTAATTGTGTGCGCGTGTATTCTATCGTCGGGCTGTTTTTTTTTTTTTTCTTTTTAATTTTCACTAAGAAAACACGTGCAATTGTGCTGAAGTGAGATTTATGCGAAAAGCACGTACAGAAATAGTGTGTATACGGTGATGTACATTATTATTTTGCTTTATATAATTTGGTTTTTTGTTTTCTTTTTTTTTTTTTGGTCTGTCTGTTTGTTGATGAACTTTTTGATTTTCAAAGCTTACCATCTGAACGCCACCGTGAAAGGAAGAAGCAAAAACATAAGTTAATCATATAGCTTACCGAAGAAGAATTTTTGGGGAAAAGTACATTCCATCGGTCAGATATGTAAGGTAAACGCTAATCGCAAATGAAAATCAAAGAATGTATATATAATATTCCAAAGAGACACGTTCTGAATTGAATATCTTATAAATTGCATAATGTAATGTAATGTAATGTAATGTAATGTAGTAATACTTTGCGAAAGGATTTTAATTTTTTTACTTTTGTGTAGAGCAAAATTTCGTCTTCGTATGTAATTTCATATTGAAGATTTTTATGTAATTTTTAGTTTTTTTAATTTTTATATAACTTTAAGTTTTTTTAAAAAATGTAAAAAGTGTTTGGATTATTTAACGAAGACTTTCCCATAGATTATATTCAACAATCGATTTTTAAGTCAAATCTTTAAAATGGAAAATAGAAGTTTGCTTCGAAATATTTATGAATGAATGTAGAGCAGAGAAAGAGAGATTAAATAAAAATTAGTGTTGCCTAAGCAAATTATAATATTTCTTCAACTTAAAAAAAATTCCATCACACAATATTCTACGTATAAAATTCTATTAAATATTAAAATATAATACTAGTATATGTAAATGTACATACAATATTGTATTAAAAATCTATCAAAATATTCTGTGTATAAATCATTATAATTTAAATAATTAAAATAAACAGAATTATATTTCTGTCTGAATAGAAATCAATATTAATTTTAACAAAAAATACCCGTAGATTTTAAATAATTTTAAAAAAAGAAAATCTGACATCCATCATATTGACGAGTTTGCTACAACATCCATGCGTAGTTTTTCCATAAACAAATATTCCATTGAACGTGTCTCTTGGAATTACTCTATCAACGAATTGATCTCGTCGTTCGAGGGAGCAGAAATAAATGGAGCGTGATGCAAAATAGAAAAACGACGCGTTGAAACGTCGTTGAAATAGAAGACGAAGAAGAAGAAGAAGAAGAAGAAGAAAGGGTGAGGAATTGTCACCTTTGGCACGTAATCGCCGAAGCCGATAGTGCTCATGGAGATGAAAACGAAGTAGAAGCTCTCGAAGAAGCCCCATCCCTCTGATAAACAGAACAACGTGGCACCTATGAAAATGTAACCGAGTAGAATGAAGATGGCCACTGATATCGGTAGATTAAATTCGTCATCGATGGCGAACGCGGACATCGCTGGTGTTCCTGGTGTATCGGGCACGTTCCCATCCAAATTGAGAACCGTTTGAGGTTGTTGAGCCTGCTTTTGCATTTCCTCAATGTCCTCTGGAGTAATCTGCGACGGCCTCTTAAACGTTGCTAGGTCGTAAACTAGTTGTACTCCTTTCATTACCTCCTATTTTAATAAAGTCAAATGAAAAATTGCAATGTCATAATGTACACTTGGTAGGATTTTGTAATGTGACAAATTTTATGATAAACTTTTGTGGTAAACTTTTGTCTAGTAGAATACATCTTCTGAAATGTTTTAATTTTTGCACATTGTAGGATTATTGTTTGATGCTGCATATCGATTCATTGCAAAAATCAACTTAGTCTAACAGATTAGGTATAATGAACAGTATATCATATGTTCAACAAATTTTACGAGAAAATTCGAAGAAAATTTCTTTTCTCTTAGTTGTATTTCAAAATGATCATTATTTAATGATATTTAATTGTCATTAATGTTGAAATCGTTAATTTGATGAGAAATAATTTTAAAGATACATACATGTATCGGCCTCCTAGAGTTCGTATTAACTCTGTTGTCCTCTTACATGATAGAATAGATATTATATTATATAGATATTATTAAAATACATCATTTTTGAACACGTAGTTTTAATATTCCATATAATTTTACGATTTCCTATTTTATTATGTTCCATGCTTTCTATAAATAAATAAAGTACAAAAGAAAGAAAATATCTGAAGAGACTCTGTGTGTGTGTGTGTGTGTGTGTGTGTGTGTGTGTGTGTGTGTGTGTGTGTGTGTGTGTGTGTGTGTGTGTGTGT